GAGGGGGGGCGGCACCCCGCGCTGGACCCTCGCGGTCGTGTGGGACAGGGCCTGCGGGTGTCCAGCCGTGAACCCCCCGCTTCCAGCCTGGGGGGCTCCCCCTTCCGTGAGGGCCCCCGTGGCCGGTCCCCCTTTCCCGGTGGGGTTCCCCAGCAGCCTGCGTCCGGAACGCGTCGGGTCACCGTGCGGGTTTGTGACTTCTCGCTTGCTCTCGGCCGCCCTGTGCAGATCTCAGGAAGCAGGCGAGGCAGCTGGAGAACGAGCTGGACCTGAAGCTGGTCTCCTTCAGCAAACTCTGCACCAGCTACAGCAGCACCCGAGACGGAAGGCGCGACAGGTATAGGTACTAGCCCGTTTCTTTACGTTTTAAATGCTGCTTGTGGTACTTGGTTCGGTTTTATAATTTGCTTAATGCTGTTCCCACCTGCGGCTTTCATGCTTAGCTTCTTAAGAAGCTCATTTCAGCACTTCTGGATGCTGCGATGGTGGTGTTGGTCTTGACGTGATGTTGAGCGATATTGGCGTGTGAGTCAGGTGTGTGGGCTGCAGTGGTGCGTCGTGAGAGCAGGTGTGTCACTGGGGGAAGCTGAATTGAAACGTTGGTTTGTCGCTGTGGGGTTAGTGTGCAAACCGACGATAGGGCTCTTTAATACTTGCTACATTGGCTTATTTTCCAGTTTTTCTTGTATTAAACTAGCAAAGGGTTTTCAGGGACTTCAGTTTTAGGGGAATTTAGCCTTACGCCTCCCTGGTGTGGTATTTGTGATCCCTGTTTCTATGATAAGGGAGCTGGAGCACTGAGCAGCTGTGACTGGTCTAGGCTTGCACAGAGGACCAGCCCTCCCTTCACGAGGGGCAGCTGTTTTTTTCTGGCTTTCTCCTAAGATGAGTAATAACAGTGAGAGCTATATATATATGTTTTTATGTATATAGGAACCAGATACATACATACACATGTATATATCTGAATAGTTTCTGTTTGCTTTAGGCAGATTCATGTTCGACTCAAGAATTAATGTGATAAAACTTCTCAAGTCTTTCTAGCTTATGGGCCAGAGTTGAGGTCTTTCCTGCAGTTCCACAGCACTGATCATCAACTTCTCTGTCCCTGTGCGCAACCTTTAAAAGCTGCCATTCTTTGCCTATTAACTGTGGGTCCCAACACTGTGTATCAGTTGTGAGTGTGACTACCGCATGTATGTGTGTTGGTATTTTTATTTATTTATTTGATGATTGAATAAATTTTGAACCTTTGCATGAATTTCTGGTTCTGGGAGCCTGAGAGAGCCTCAAGAATGATCATGTTACTCCTGAATCAGAGTCCTAGTCTCTTTCTTGTTTCTGGCTCTGTGCTGTTACTTGCTGCGTAATCTGATTGTTGTAGTTATTTTTGCTGTCCTGTGCAAAACTTACTTCTCTTATTCTAGTTATGGTAGATTACCAAAGCAGAGGAGTCTCTGGAAGGTATTAGTTGTCATACTTCTTCAGGTTGGCGTACCCTGTGTTGTGCTTCTGTTCTGTTGCTTAGACATGACTTCTCATTGTGGTTTTAGTTTATCTTAAAAAGCATGTAGGGAAGGTGTACGGTATGGGACTGTAATTGTGATAAATTATGTGGTTTGTATTGCTCCGTAGAACACTGACTGCTTAATAGGTCAGTGGGTTGTCGTAACGCAGTGTTGTTCAGGTGTAATTATGTCGGTGGTGCAACATGCTAATAGTGCAGTGCTCCCTCCTGCCAATAAATAAATAAATCAAGCTTAAAAGTTGAAGACAGAAGTGCATTGGTGCTAGACACGTGCTGGTAGTAGACAGGTGTTGGTGTCAGGCATATCTTCCAAGGAGAGGTTCTATTTTCCCCAGGTGATACTATGTCATTAGTTCAGATAAGAGTTAAAGACATGTACGATGAGAAAATGTAATTTTTCTGCGCTTAATTCATCTCTCTAGGAAACCTGGGTAGCGGAGCTTGCCAGCACCTAACACTAGTGTTTCCTTATTTCTTGCATTCATGAAAAGATGATGTACTTTTCAGTAACTGCTCCTCCTCTTTTCCCTTAGCTCTGACACAACTCCTCTCTTAAATGGATCAAGCCAGGACAGAATGTTTGAGACCATGGCTGTGGAGATTGAACAACTTCTGGGAAAGGTAACTCAAGTTACTGTGGTTTTACTTCAGCATCTAGGAAATATTGCAGTACAAGTTTCTGTGATGAATGTCAGGAAATACTACTGTGGGTGTTAGACAAGTGTTTCTGAAGGTATGCGTCTGTTGTCAGAGCTGGCTCCTTCAACTTATGCATTGTAACTTTCTTACAAGAATAAGCCATTTCATGGTTTTGTTTTGTTTTTTTTCCTTCCTCTAGCTTACTGGAATAAATGACAAAATGGCAGAATACACAAATAGTGCAGGAGTCCCGTCCCTGAATGCTGCACTGATGCATACGTTACAGCGTCACAGAGACATATTGCAGGTAACAAACGTGTGTCCTGCTTGCTTTTATTTTGTTTCTTTGTTTGCTATAATTATTAGCAGTGCTGGTGTCGCAGCACGCTTGAATGTCTTACCAGAAGATTTAAACGCCACCGATCCCAGCTCACTTTTCTTCTCTCCAGACACCCCAACCAGTGAACTCTGAGTTGAAAAAAATAGCATTTTTAGTGTCATATTGGTGACTAGTACCTAACTGAGAACAGTAAAGCATGCCTTCTTATGTAGGTGTCTTTTATATAGCAAAAGGGGAAAGGTGCTGTAATGAATTATCTTGTCTGTGTGGTCTGTCACATAGCGGTATGAGAGGGAGCATCACACTTAAGAAAATATGATTGTAAAACCATCTAAACTGATAAAGGGAGTTGAAGGAAATGTGATGGCTAAAGCTACTAATTAGTAGTAGTTATAAATCAACCATGTTTCAAACTGGTGATGTTTTCAGGGCATAGTAAGGTTAAAAATGCATGTTTTGTTTGGCTGGTCACGTATGGTTTGATTTCTGGTTTGTATCTGTGCAATACAATGTAAAAAGCATAGTGTTTTGTAAAAGCCATAGCATTTGTATGAAAAATAGTGCTGAACGTTTACAATGGTTTTGGTGGATGCCGGTTGCCAGTTAAATTGTTTTTTGAGAAGTATTAGATGCCTGAAATGTTTTCAAATGTAAAATTGCAACTTGAACATATTAAAAAAAAAAAAAAGTCATCTTCACTGTTCAGAAAAGACTTTTTTTTCATCTGGTGTAACTTAACAAAATAAACCCAAGAACATCTTCACCACACCAAATAAGTAGGTTTTACTGGGGCTTCTGATGCAACCAGTAATGGGAAATTGCAACACAAAATGATAATTCATCAGGAAGGTGAAGATACATGAAATTGGGAGAAGGAATTGCAGTGGATTTCCCTCCATGATCTTAGCTGTAGCTGTCAAAAGTTAGGAACTACTGTAAGAGCAGTGAGTTTTAAAAATACTTTGCATTAACTTCCGAGCATTTTTTATGTTAATTTCCTAAGTTGTTCTTGCACTTTGTATTAGAGAACAGGTAACATTTTAAAAGATGGTTGGATCTTACTTGAGTATATTGTGTTGTTAAATTGATCTCAGGATCCTAATTTTGGAATAATTGTTTTATTCCAGGATTATACGCACGAATTCCACAAAACCAAAGCGAACTTTTTGGCAATACGAGAAAGGGAGAATCTGTTGGGATCAGTACGAAAAGATATCGAGTAAGTTGTATTGTTTGTTATACCAATGGTGTGGGACTGTCCTCAGAGGGAGGAGGTGGAAACCCTCCTGTAGGAGAATACTTGACATAGCTTATTTGTCTGTGCTCTGAATAAAGCAAAAAAAGTTACTTGAATTCACAACTCTTACTAAGGTTGTGATAAGATTCTGTTTTGTTTTGTTGCTGGGTTTCAGATCATACAAAAGTGGGTCTGGCGTGAATAACAGAAGAACAGAACTATTCCTGAAGGAACACGAACACCTTCGAAAGTAGGTGTTATTTGTTATTTACTTACGTTGGAGGTGCCTAACGTTTCTGGGGGATGAAGCATTCTTAATTTCAAGTATGTGTGAAAGCCTTGTCTATTTGTAGATATGTATGTCCACAACGAATGCCTTGCACTGTGTATTTTGTGACAGTGCTGCCGCTTATGCAGCTGGATAAACGTTTATTGCTTATGCTGACTGTGAAGCGCATATAGTAGGTAGTAGCCGTGGTAGTTTTCAGTGATTGTGGCTTTAGGATCTTGTCAACACTAAGTGACATCTATATGTTGTCTTCAGCGGGCTTTGGCAAGTCACTTGTGACTCATACTTCATGCTTGGCGTCCTCTCTTAGGGAAGGAGATGCCTTTACAGTATACTAGCTGGGATAAGGTTTAAAAAACAAAACGGAAAGTTCCAGTGATTGAGCTGGTTTTCCCTTTCTGTTTCTTTATTTGTCAGTCAGAACCTTTTTTTCCTTTTGTCTCTACTGAATGGTTAAAAAACAAAACAGAAAGTCCCAATGATTCAGCTATTTTTCCCTTTCTTCTTCATTTGTCAGAGTCAGACAGAGAAGAACTGTTTTTTCCTTTTGTTTCTACTGAATGTGTACAAAACGTGATGGAAGAGACTAATTCCAAAATTACCTGTGCACTTACATATTTGCAAATTGACTCTAGGTTATTGGGCAAGATAACAAGCAAAATAGAAAGCACTTTCTTTTTATTTGTGTTGCAGAGAGGGCATTAGATTATCAGTAGCTGCTTTCTGTGTTCCCCGTTCAGCAAAAGCAGCATGCTCCGATAGAAGAGGGCTGGAAGGTTCATGCTTTATAGATAGTCAAGAAGAAGCACTGATCTTCGTGCTTCTGTGTTCTTGACTTTAGTCATGCTAAACCTCAGTCTTGCACAAGAGGGCAGGCTTTCATTTAAGAAAACAAATAAATAAATAATTACCCGTGGCTTTCTCAGATGTTCTTTCTTAAAGATAACTTAAACTTCTAGCCAGAACTGCACAAAAAGCTTTTACAGGAAATTAAAACCAAATTTTTCGATTGTGGCTTACCACCACTTCATCCTCAGTTTTCTTTAAAACTTAGAAATTAATTGATTTAAAGCTTGAATTATGACTTTTGTTAGGTTGAATTTGTTATTAAGCATGCACGATCAGGAAATGTAAAATTTCTGGGAAAAAAACCAATCTTAATGTTTTGGAGGTGAATGTTACCTGAAATGTTGTACTTTGAAGAATTAATGTCAGTTAATCTGACTAAACCTGATTCTTTCTCGATGTTGTGTTTGGGGTTTTTTGTTTTGCTTTGTTTTTTATTGGAGGGGTGGTAAATACTTTTATACATTTGGCGTTTTGTTAAAGAAGGCTACAAATAAAATTTCTGGAGTTGTAAAATATAGTTCTAAGAAACTGACGTTCCTCTGAGCGCACTACTTTGAAAAGTTTGAAACAATGAAGAGAGAAAAACTTAAACCATTTTGTAAACGTTATCTGGCAGAGGTCTTCAGAATTTGTGCCTAGCATTCGCTGAGGCACTGATTACTTTGATCTCTTTAAACATGCTAAACTCTCCAGTATGTTTTTAGGATAAAATTGCATGAAAAATAGAATTAAATAAGGCAGTTTGAGAAACAGTCAAGCTATCTTCTAGGTGATTATTTGAAAATGTCAAGACTTAAAAAAAAAAAAACACAACACTGAGAAAAAGAAAACAAGAAATAAGTGAGTTCAGGATCTTTAGGAAACAGGGCCAAAACTAATCATGGAATACTACTGCAAGGGGGGGATAACTGTAAGGTATATGAAGAAATCTGGTATAGAAGCAGAAGACAACCTTGGCAAGAAATCAAAGCTCGCAAGATGTTCAAAACTTTTCAATTTAGAATCAGTAAGCTCAGAAAGATACTGGCAGAGGAAATTATTAGAGTTTCAACATATTTGTCTTCAGAGAAAGCAGTTAATGAGCTATTAATGCCAAAAAGCTGTAAAAGCTAGCAAAAGGTCCCGAGAAATCAACAGGAGCTGGCAGATGACACCAGACATGCTCCTAGGATAAGCTGACAAGCTTTGTGTGAGCCTTCATGCTGAATATTTGCAGCGCAGTAAATCATGGTGCTAGACTAAGTGATGGAACTACATGATAAATATATATACATTGTCACAGGGACTCAAAGGTAAAAATTCAAGCGTATTTTTAGTGAAGTTGTGAAACCTATTAAAAGAGCTTGAAAAATGGAGATGAGAACATAAACTTTGCAAGTGTATTATTGTATGCTGCAAAATAATGAAATAATGCCACAGGAATGATATATGCCTATTGAATATTGGAGCGTTCGCTTGGTCTTGACCCTGCTTAATTTATGATATTAAGTACTTTAACCTATTACATATTTATTCCATGATGTGATAATGGAGAATGTATGAGCTATTGCCCCACTGCAGAGTAGCAGACTCGTCTGTCAGCCTTTTTCTTTATGCACTACCATGTGAGACAGGATGAGCGGAAACTTGAGTTTACTCTTGGCGGCGTTTTCTGTGAACGCTCTTTAAAAAGCATGCTGGCAGCCCCAGGCAGTATTGTTTGTGGTGGTATCTCGCTTGGGAGTAAGAGGAGGAGAGCCAGAAAGCTCTTCTCCGGGAGGGACTTTGGAGAGAAGCTGGACTTTTGCTTTTTGTCGAAATCTGGCTTTTTATTTTTCTGTCACATTTTGAACATCATCTCTTCTGGAAGGACTAAGAACGAAGGAGAATCTGTCTGTCTTAATTTTACGTATGTAGGTAATAGTAAAAAAGTGAGGGAAATAAAAAAAAATCTGCGAGTCCAAAGTTTTGATGAATAAAAGGATCTGACGTATATTAAGCACCAAGGGAATTACAACAGCTGAAGCGCTGCGCAAACCCTTGCTATGCCTGTAATACATAAAACTGCTGTCCATTAAGCCGTGAGGATTGTGCATCCATTTGGATTCGCTTGCCCTGGGTGGGGCCGGCTGCTGCATCAGTGCTGCTGGCACAAGGGTGCTGTGCACTTTCACGTCAGGATGGTGGTGCTGCCGGGGCAGCCCTCGGTCCGGGGGCATGGGGGCTCTGCACTGCTGCACCCCGCTTCTGGGAGGGTTAGAGAAAGCGTATCGTGTTCCTCTCTCTTCGACTGAAAGCTTTGCTGCTGGTTCAATTCATTTTATAAATCAGCTGATTTTGAGTTTTATTGGGAAAGGAGATAGGTCTAGAAATTTTATTGACTGTAGGTGGGAGGCATAAAGTTTCTAAGTCTCTGTTTGCTACTTAATTTCTATAGAGATAATATAAGGATAGTTTTACCTACCTCTGTAAAGAAAAACAATAATGCCTAAATTTTTTAATAAAAATTTTAACACCTGTTAATTAACATGAGGCTGGAAGACAGGTCTTGTCGAATACTGATGCCCTGTTAATATTTTAACTAACACCTCAGATCTCTTGGCATGTCAGATGCTTAAAGAAATACCAAATCTAGTGTGGTCCTGTTTGCAGTTGATTGTCGAATGCTTGTTTTTTCGGGTGTGTGCCATTCAGTAAAGGTGTTTGTCTCATCTTTTTCTGTCTGTATGCTTTTGGCCAGGGAGGTAAACAAGTCATTCTTTTTCTTGTAATACTGTTTTCCATCTAAAGAAAACAAGTTTGATGAATAGATCTAGCTTAGCATTTTAAAAACTGCTCTGAAAAGTGCTGCCTCAGAGGAAAGAGTCCTGTCAACTTAGCGTTTGCCCTGAGAAATTCTGCAGTTATTGATGAGTTACAGCCTAAGTCAGCAAAGAAGGGACTAATGTGTGTGATTAAATTTGCAATATTGTGTGTGTATGCGAGTGAAAATTTCCCTTGCGTTAGTACTTGCATTGTATGTGAATGATATCATATCAGGTGATACTGATGAACTTGTGTAAAAATTGATGAAAGCTTCCAAGATTTAGATGGAAATTACAGATTTTATTACCTATGACAAATTCCATGTAAAACTAGATGAGAACTAGACCATTTAGTGGCCGCCAGCATTTGCTGTAGTAGACTTGTTCTGTCACTGTAGGGCCACTGTATGACTACTGCTTTTTTACTCAGCTCCAGTGCTCAAAAATTAAGGCATTTGTCCTTTTCCAAAAGAAATGGCTGGTGGTGAAGCAGGTGCCTGTGGTGGTGCAGATATCATTAGCTGTGTTTTTAAATGTTGTCAGATGACTGCATGTTTCTGGTGAGTCTTGCTATGCAGGCTATCAGTCTATCCAGTAAAAAAATTTTCAGCTTAGAGTATCAGGTGTAAGTGGTGCAGGTAGATGAGAGGAACCTGCTCAAAGCGTTCAGGTTAGCTAAGGACGTAAAACACCTCTGTGTGTCTTAAAATGTGTAGCACTGGGGACAGAGAGGGTAAGGGTGCCAGAGTAGGTGGGTGGGAAACTTTGAAGGAGAAAAGGAGGAGGGCAAACAAATCAGAGGGATGTGCTCTGCATGTGAAAGAAAAAAGAGGAATAAGAGAAGGGAGCAAAAGAAATAACGGGAATCTGCAGCAGTTGTGTAATGGTGCTATTAATAATACATACCTGATTCACGGAGATGATTAGGATAAATTAATGTTTGTGCAGTACTTCATATATGTGAAGTACTCTGAAATACTAAATATTGTTATTACTATTGTTATTGCATTTTATTTTTCAGCAGAACTGTTTCAAATTTCCTGTTGTTGTTTGGGCAGAAATGGCCACATTCAAGGAGAGAATGATCACCAGGAAACTGCTTTCAGACTTTGTTCCTAATACAGTCCAGATCTTAATAGAGGGAGTGACTTGTTGACTGTTTTTCTTCTAAATATTGATGTTGCTTACAAATTTTCACTTCAGTATTGATTTGCATGGAGAAGTCTGCTTAATGAGATACTGAGACACCTTACAGGGGTTTTGATTACAGGTACGTTGATCTCTGGGAAAAAGCTACCAATTTTCTACCTTAGTTTAATTTCCTTTTCT